CATTTCCCAAAGTGTAAACCAGAGAATACTGGCATCTTCCCAACTGTGTTGCACATGGTGGTAACTGAAGGATGATTTTATTAACGATTATACTACGCTAGATACCGGAGCAATGGGATCAGCGAAGTACCCTAGGTCATGGAGATGGGAAAAGCATATTTCAAGGGAAGTCCAAGAAGTGGCACCCACATGATGCCACCCTCAAACCCAGGCAAAATCACAACCAGAGAGAGATCGACCCTGTTCTAATCCTGGGTGGTTCCTGCCCAAGACAGCTACCCTCTCCTCTGGGCAACCACCACAGCACACTTACACTTGAGCTTTTGCCTTCAGGTTCCTTGTTTTAGGGCAGGCCCATTTACATAGCAATGACCTTGGACCGATTAAAAAAACCTTGGCCCAAGAGTACAATAAACGTATTTAAGTCTATAAACATATACCCCAAGATAACCATAAAAATCACTTTCCAGTGTATGTTTTAAAATACTACCAAAGAGGGGTTAAAATAGAGGAGGGCTCGAGGCCACCAGTGTCCCACACATTACAACATAATATATGTGAGCACAAGGTTAAACAGCCATGCCCATGCATAGGGTGCATGAAAAACTGGCAAGTGGAAGATTAATTGCCTGCACGAATGCTATTATTCCAACCAGCAGCAAGAATAAGAAAGAAAGTGGCAGTGATGTTGACAAAGGCAGTTATTATACCTGTATGTTTCTTTTCTCAAATTCAGGCTGTAAAACAATTCTGGAGTGACTGTTCATCCCCTTCTCCATGCAGTGCTCAGGCTGCTTCTCCTCATGTGCATTTGCTCTTTGTTTCCCCGGCCAGTGGCAGTGGCAAGTGATGAACTCGACGTGCCGGACTCCCAGAAGCCCTGGGTGTCCCACAGCCGTGACATGACCACACAGGGACCTTCAGGTGAGTGCTAGCAGTTCATTGCACTATTTTAAGGTCTCTCTCTGCACAGCCAGAGTAGTGTAAAATGGCTTAAATGTACAGGAGTATCAGGCCCCAAATGTATTCCTAGGCTGCATTAGCTAATTAAATATACAGAAAACAGCAAGGTATTACAGCGTCACACAGACTCGTGCCTTCAAAAGCACTCAGAGCAAGCAAAGCGAGGAAACGGTCACAGACAACTCCCCTCTGCTTTTGCCCCAGCGACAAAGGGCTTGTGCAGTTCATCATGCGGAGTGAGGACCTGGCACAGCCAGGGAAGAACCACAGCTACTCCACCACTCGCACCCCCTGGACTCTACGCCATCCCCCCACGCTTCTGCCCATCCACATCTGCACATACATATTTATTTACTGGCATTTTCCAGGTATCTACCTGCCACTGTAGCCACTGACAGAACTTAAGGGGAAGGTTCTGCCAGCTCTGTTTCTACAACCCTTTTTTATGTACAGCTCACTGACACTTTAAAATTTCTTACACTACAACACAGAGTGCCCTGTTGTTCAGACGTGTATTTATTTTGGGGTCATGCCTTTTAAGTGCCTGACCAGAAAAAAAAAATGGCTCAGAACATGATCACATCACTGTGAAGTGTATACTTGCATTTTCAATCTAGTAATTCACACTTGCAAACAATAAAATTACCTTCTTCTGTCACAAAGGAAAGCTGTTATCATTACTGCTTCCCTCTCATGCGTACAGGTCTGGTCCCTTCTTTTTAATTCACCTGCAGTTTAAAGCAGACGTTGAATTCTTCTTGCCTCGTCCAGTACAGCTGTGTGCTGCTAGAGCGGTATTATGGCCCGTGGCAAGTGCAGGGGCATTTTAAACAGGGATGTGAAGTGACCCCTGGAGAGTGGCTATGGTTTTCAAAAAAATGACTGATAGCAGCCGGTATCTTCATTTTGGGAGACTTGAACCAAAACACCTATCGGGGCCTAATTTTCAGACACTGGCCACTCCAGTATTCTGAATACGTTTTACGTCTGGATGCAAACACAAATGGTGTAAACTAGGGAGGAAAGGAAAGAAGCTAGACTAAGTAATGCCCAGGTTTTCAGTGTGCAGAGCAAGAACGCCCACCCAAATGTGGAAGGGCTGCTGCAAAGAGGAAGCAAGAATCTGTTCCTAAAGCCCACATTGAAGAGGACAAGAAATAAGAGGCTAAATTACAGCAGAGGGAAACTTAAGCTCAACATTAGGACTAAACAATGCCAAAGCACATCCCGTGGGGAAGAAGCTGCAGAGAAACTGCTTAAGGAAGACTGTAATGCCTGCAATAGGCAAATGTAAGGCATATTCTTTGCGTTACAGGTAACCAGCAGGTATTCGGCAAACAGTGAGGAAAGCTTAGGCTTCTGTTTGTGTATCTGTCTCTTGTCTGAAACAAAAGCTTTCCTATGTATGTTAAATGAAATAATGCTACTGCTATTACTAACCCACTGGTTTTTACAGGCACTTCTCAACAGCAGACCTCCGTTGCTCAGAAGGGGAATCAGAGTCACAGAAACACCGAGTGACCTGCTCAAGGTCATCCACGAAGCCACCAGCAGAACTAGGAACAGAACCTGCCCAGCCTGATTCCGGCATTGCCCCATCCATGTCCGGGGTTTGCTTGAAAGCCTAGTCTTGGCAGAGCGGGATACAGCTGCCCACACGGTATGACCCTCAGGCACGCTTGCTGGTGTGCGAACGCATCAACCGACAGTCTCACTCTAGACAACTAAACCAACATCAGGAGATAAGTGACTAAAATGCCATTAACAGAAAATATGGCGGGCCTCCAAAGTGACTAATAAACTTAATGTAAGAAATAAGTTCCCGCAGTCAGACAATAAGCAGCAGCAGCTGCTGCCACGCTGCTGCCACCAAAGAATCAGTAAAACATGCAAGCGATGTAATAACCCGCTCAATGTGGAGAAAACCCCCAGGAGACGTTTTCAGTAAACCAAATGTCAAACACTCTGTCCCTACCACAATGATAACTATGTTGACACAGCATAACGTAGATAGCATCCTATTAGCTGTAATAGCTTCTGAGGGTCAGCCAGACCCTGTGCAGCTTGTGGTGGACTCAAGGTGCCTCCCGAGAAGCGCGGGGAGTAAGGGTTAGGAAGATGGCAGCCAGATGAAGCGTAGCTGAGGCCCAAGAAGGCTATTGTGCAGAACGACTCCGCTGTCCCAGCTGTTCTGATGCACTTCACGTCTGCATTGACTTGTTGGAGGATTTTGGCTTACAGAATGCATTTTCTATGCAACTTTTGGAACACAAGTGAGTGCGCTGGACTGCGAAGGAGGAGGCAATGTCACCTCTGGGGACAGCAAACATAGCGTAACTCCCGGATTATTAGGATCAGTCTCACTATTTTTTTTCACCTTCCTCCCCCTCACACACACCCCACGCAAGCTGAGCTTGCCTTCACGCTGGGGACAGAGCAGGGGTCTGTATGCCTGCCTAACCTGTAGGACAGTGCAATTATGTATTATATGCAAAAAAATGAGAGACACCCTAACCTCATTCGAAATTCTCAAAGCATAAGCAATAACCAGTCAACTGGACATAATACTAAGATAAATACTAGAGTCATGGGTATCATTAATGCATATGGTATGAACTGGTTCTTCCTAAACACACATATGCCACCTGCTAATTACCCTCAGACAAAAAGATCTGGGGAATGAGCAGCCCATCCCAGGACAATTTTTACAGGATGGTACGACTCTACTAGGAATGTGTGTCTGTCCTGCCCCACGTTTCATTTGGGGCTATCCAAAACAGCAGAGACCCCAATTCCATACAGGTAAGGAGGTCCTTGCCAGCTGGGAAGCACAGGCAGCTGCTAGCTCAAGCCCTGCACAGCAGAAACAAAAATGCACTTGATTATTTGCTAAATTGGCCAAAGTGCGTATGTCTAATCTCACAGTGCCAAAGCCACTTGTGTCCCTCTCTTCCTATGATCCAGGTAAGGGGGTGGCCGAACTGACCACCTTGTGCGGCTGGAGGCATAGCTTTCACCCTACACATCCAACACATTTATTTCTGTGGTGAGAGGATCTAGACAATATTCAGAAATCAGAGCAGTTTTCTCACTTGAAAAAAAAAAGAAAGAGTAAAGAAACGATGAGAAAGACGTATGATGAAACAGCAGAGGTCTTATTATGGACACAAAACGTCTTAGTGCCAGCTTACTGGAGAGCTCTCATCCAGCAGCCTGTGCAATACCCCAAAAGGCAACAGTCTAAGAACAGCAGGTATTTGGTTTCCATTTCACAAACAGACAAATGACATCTCTCTCTCACAAAGCACAAACATGTTCCACAACCCAGGGGAAAGATGTTTCTCAAGCCTTCTACATCCATTCACTGGAAAAATTATTCCACCTCCTTCCCACAAAAAGCTCAGCATTTCGAGATTTAGTTTAAAAACGTAACACTTAAGAAATATGGCTGTATACGTAGAAAAACTATCTAGTAACTATGCACAAAACTTCACTGATATTTTCTTTACTAATTAGCACATTAAAACATTACAGTCTTCCCAAAAAATTCTTCACGCTTTAAACAGACATAAACACAAGCAACATTTAGGCCTTGAGTGAATCTTGACTGAACTATTCCAGTTATTAACTGATTTAAGAAAATGCATACTAAACAGAATTTAAACCAGTTGCCATTTCTGTTAAAAGACAGGTTCTTTGTAAGTTTCGATTACACCTGAAGACACCAGGTAACTTAGTTGTCTATTTCCAAAATAATTCCATAAAACTAGAAGATTTCAAAATCGGAGGAGCTTTAAAGCAGGAATCAAAATGTAGGTAGTGAGATTTATGAAAATTTCCTGTTTGGTGTCACAGTAATTACAGAGTGAAAGCTCAGCCAGACTGCCTGGACAGATGTGACCAAGACACCCAGGCTATGATGCCAGTGACAAATGGTTAACTGATAAGAAGAAATGGAGGGGGCGACAGGCTGAAGAACAGGTCAATATCATGCTGTCATGAAGCCATTTGAGAAACATAATTAATCTATTACTCACCTGGCATCATCATTCATTGTACAGTGGTCAATAGGTGCCATGAAGCTCACCAGCTTGCTATGGACATGATACCTGGATAGTGCAGGAAATAAGCAGGCAGCACATTAGTAACTATTAATGAAAAGGAAATGTTGCTGCTTGAATAGAAACGTACCAGCCCCTGAAATGCAGAGCACTGGCCTTCCTGGTGGCTGGTATCTAATGAGCCGCTAGTTGTAGCTGGCAATTCCCCCTCCCTTCCCTCCTCCTCCTTTCTTATAACATGGACACAAGAACAATCAGATGACACAATGAACTGAATAGCAAGCAAATCCTTTTTTATCACAGCTAGAAAGAGGACATACAGCATCCATTAATTGTGTGCAAGTGCCTAATCAGATGCCCAGACAGACAACCCCGCAAAGTCAGAGACAGAGAAACAAGGATTCGTTTTCAGCCTTCCGTTCAGCTGGTGTCTTAATCACCTTCTGGAATTTGTGCCCGAAGAGCCCACTGCAGGCAGCAGAAGCGCCAGAGCATCAGACCTTCTCAAGCATCCATCTGCTATTGCTTTTTCATTGCTCTGTGGTATCTAGGGCCCTAAAGGATATCAAAATCCCACTCAGCTAGCCATACCCGTAGTTGGAAAGTCTTACCCTGAATAACTTACAAACGGAGCATGTAAAAACAGGCAAAGGAGACAGGAAAAAGACCCGTGCAAAGAAGAGATGGGGCATGTCCAAGGTGATACAGTGCTGCATCTGTCTCAACTTCTGGTCCACCAAAATATTTCTGCAAACTGTACTGCACCTCCAGATATGGGATCCCCTTCCTGCTTTCCACACTGGGCTAGGAACTTGCAGTGGCTTTTCATGACTTCTATTCAAGGACCTGACATGTAAAATTTAACAGAGCACTGAAAAACTCTGAATGAAAAGGGGGCTTTAAACCCTAGTGTCTAAGGGCAGGGAATTCCAAACCAATGGCTTTTGGTGTACACTGCCATGCTGCCTACCCAAGTCTGAAATGTTTTATCCGAGCTGCTGCTATTTTTAGAGCTTGACAAATAGCAGGCAAAAGGATTCACAAGCATTTGCCCAGAATCACCTTTCCACTCTGTCACCTCTGCACTCCCTTTTGTTTGCTTATGCAGGAACATTCCCTCGAGGGGATTTTTAGCTCACAAGACTATTTCAGAAAGGCTCTTCAGGCACAGCACACGCTCACCCTTACACAAGGGCTTCTCTGCACAATCAAGTCTTTGTCACTTGTAATGGAAGCAACCGCCCTGGTCTAACGCTGTAATGATGGAGTCAGGGAACAGACGTAGCCGTGCAGGGCCAGTACTGCAACCCACAACAGGCCAATAGGCTGGACTATCAAATGGTTTGCTTATGAGACATTAACAACTGATGGATTCATACAGATCAAAGCTTATACAGGGACAGTCTGCATAGTGGCAAGGGGAGCTGGCAATTCTGATAAATTCTCTGACACAAGTTGTTTGTCCAGAACTAGCTACTGTCACCTGTTTTAAATCAGGACTTTAAAAATCCCAGTCTAGCAGATACAAAATATTTCATTTCATTCACAGAAAGATAGCCCATCCAGCAGAGGACCAGAAATCACTGACATGAAAAACAGGTGGGCACACATCACTCCTCCACATCTACCTCAAGAAAAGGCATGTCCTAGTGAGGGGTAGCAGAGTTCTAGGCACCAGGTTTCTTAAGCTCAACTGTGGAGTTTTAGGATGAGCTCAATTCCCCTCTTAGTGCCCCGATTTCCCTGTCCAAGAAGGGAACAGGTACTCATGTCAAGCGCAAGATCAACTGCTTTTGAAAGCACCTGAAGATCCTCAGACCCTACAATAAACTAGCACGTTTCATCCAAACATGCTAGAACATGGAAGGTCTGCTAAAGGACTGCTAAAAAGGAAGACACGTGAAACTTAGTATGTGACAGTTTGCTTTCCAGGATCTCAAAGTCCTTCACAAAAACAAATCTAAGCACTGCTGCCCCAATTTTAGAGAAGGAAAAAGAAGAACAGGGGATAAGTGATCTGCTTGGGATGACACCGAGTCTCTTAGTGGAAGAGCCAACTACTCAGAAACACCCATTTGGGCTCTACTGGACTATTCTGAAAAGATGCTGGAGCTTAACTGCATGTTAATCCTAAACACAGACAATGACAGTTTTTTCTTTATTGATATTTTCCCTGCAGGGTCAGTGCAACTTTTATTTAAAGAAGAAAAAAAAAGGCACCTCAGATCTAAGAGGCAATTGACTTGGCGAGATAGCTGATCTCTCAGGAATGCTGAAGCGCACAGATTGCACACAATGAGAGACTTCCCCATTATTCCTGGAGGTTTACGAGTCTGACTCAGTTGTGTGATGTTGTCAGTAGTTTTGACTGAATCATGAATATATCCAATTATGTGTGATGCTGACAGAAAAGAATATTGATAGTCAATAATTATAGGCTTTTCAGGCCAACAAAGTAGCTCTTCCCTCTTTTAATAAATTATCTTATGACATCTATCTTAAAAATTGCTATGCTAGGCCTGACCCAGACTGACTCCACTGACTTTCTATCAGATGCCATCTAAACTCACGATTTATAGTTTACTCACAAAAGGATGGTTAATGTTGCGGATTTTTCAGGAAGCGGTGCAGCTTTTCAGCATGCCTCCCTGCCACAAACACCTCCTCCACTACAAATCATGCAGTCATGCTAAACTCAGGGAGACTAATATATCTGCTCTGCAAAGGGGAAAAAAAAAACCCTGTCCTCTCCAGAATGCTTCCCTTCCCAGCCTGCTGCACGGAAGATTCAAACACAACAGGAGAGATCAACCTAAACTAGTGATCCAGGAGTCAGGATGTGAAATGCTTTGAAGCTGAAGAAAGCTGCAACGGGACTTAGAAAAATAAAGAGAGATTAGACACCAAATTCCAGTTGACAGTCAGCGGGAAACAGACATCTACCTCACTGAGGCATTTCTGCCCA